TGCCCTCCCCATTTCCACCAGTGCATCCACATGTTCACACCAATTTCTCAGTTCTGTAGCTCTTATTTGCTTTCCCTTTTCCAGATTACTCGGAGTATTTTTGCCTTGGAAAATTGGCAAATGCCCGTTTCCCTTAAGCTTTTAGAAACGTAAAGCCAGGAGGTTTGATAATTACTCTATGTGTCTCCTCCTTTTAACAAAAAGAGAATATCTGTGTTAACTCTGCTGCCTTCATAAACCTCTTTTTCTTTTTTTTTTCCCCTCCCTCCCTCCCTCCCTCCCTCCCTCCCTCCCAAACACGGGGGATTTCAGACTAACTGGCAGAAAGAATATTTCTGGCCGATTTGAACATCTCTCTTGTTTTGACACCTCTCCTTGAGGTTAATGAGTGAACAGTTTGATCTTCCTTGACATCTTTGACTTTTTTTCCTCTGAAGGCAGGCCTGTTGGAGCTGTCTCTTCCAGCGCGGGCGAGCCAAAATGCTTCAGTTAGTGTTTGGCAAGACGTAAGAAGAGCAAGCGCTGGAGAGATGAGTTGGTCCCAACGGGTCTAAAATGCTGGCTTGTTTGCCTTTGGAAAGCCTAAGTCCTTTTTTCTGTCATCGGGGCAGAATTAGTGAGATGTCAGGTGTCCTTGTGCGGCGGAATTTGGAGACAAAGCTTCAGCTAAGGATTTCTGTGGGCCTAGCAGGCAGCCTGGATTTTGTCTATACATCAAGCATGTAGCATAACATTGGAATATAGATTACAGGCAGTCCGTAAGGACCCACTTCAACTGACCACCCAAGGCAGCAGAACTCTTGAAATAGGCCTTGTCTCAAAAGGACACTTTTATTAGGGGGTCAGTGACAGTAAGGAAGTCAAGGCGAGATCAGGGGAAAATCCCCCACACAGTATAGTTAAGTCGTAATGTCCATTTGAATTTCAGCCAATCCACAGGTGGTATGATGTGCGGGTCAACTGGGGAGAAACAGACTCAGGCTCAACCCTTCCAAGACTGAGTGGTTGTGGTTGCCGGCTCCCAGGTATGGTCAGCTGATTCCATCGCTGACTATAGGGGGCGAAACCTTGGCCCCCTCGGAGAGGGTTCGCAACTTGGGGGTCCTCCTGGACCCACGGCTGACACTGGACGACCAGTTGGCGGCCGTGGCCAGGGGGGC